CTGTCTGTCTGTCCACATAGTTTCTGTGCAGAGCTGAGATCCTGTGTGCTGTCTCTCTGTCCGCTTAGTTTCCCTGCAGAGCTGAGAGCCTGCGTGCTGTCTGTCCACGTGGTTTCTCTACAGAGCTGAGAGCCTTTGTGCTGTCTGTCTGTCCACATAGTTTCTGTGCAGCGCTGAGATCCTGTGTGCTGTCCGTCTGCCTGTCTGCATAGTTTCCCTACAGAGCTGGGAGCCTTTGTGTTGTCTGTCTGTCTGCATAGTTTCCATGTAGAGCTGAGATCCTGTGTGCTGTCTGTCTGTCACATTGTTTCCCTACACAGCTGAGATCCTGTGTGCTGCCTGTCCGCATACTTTCCGCGCAGAGCTGAGATCCTGTGTGCTGTCTGTCTGTCCACATTGTTTCCCTACAGAGCTGAGATCCTGTGTGCTGTCTGTCCACATAGTTTCTGTGCAGAGCTGAGATCCTGTGTGCTGTCTGTCCACATAGTTTCTGTGCAGAGCTGAGATCCTGTGTGCTGTCTGTCCACATAGTTTCTGTGCAGAGCAGAGATCCTGTGTGCTGTCTGTCCACATAGTTTCTGTGCAGAGCTGAGATCCTGTGTGTGCTGTCTGTCCCACATAGTTTCTGTGCAGAGCAGAGATCCTGTGTGCTGTCTGTCCACATAGTTTCTGTGCAGAGCTGAGATCCTGTGTGCTGTCTGTCCACATAGTTTCTGTGCAGAGCAGAGATCTTGTGCTGTCTGTCTGTCCACATTGTTTCCCTACAGAGCAGAGATCCTCTGTGCTGTCTGTCCACATTGTTTCCCTACAGAGCAAAGATCCTGTGTGCTGTCTGTCCACATAGTTTCTGTGCAGAGCTGAGATCCTGTGTGCTGTCTGTCTCATTGTTTCCCTACAGAGCAGAGATCTTGTGTGCTGTCTGTGTCCACATTGTTTCCCTACAGAGCAGAGATCTTGTGTGCTGTCTGTCTGTCCACATTGTTTCCCTACAGAGCAGAGATCCTGTGTGTGCTGTGTCCAAATAGTTTCTGTGCAGAGCTGAGATCCTGTGTGCTGTCTGTCCACATAGCGCAGAGCTGAGATCCTGTGTGAGTCCATATCTCTGCATATTTCAGTTACAGAGCTGAGAGCCTTTGTTGCCTGTCCGCATAAGAGCTGAGATCCTGTGTGAGTCCATATCTCTGCATATTTCAGTATGTTTAATACTTAGGCTACGTTCACACGTGTACTTTGTGGGAATGCGCAAAAATTTGTGCACTTTCCTACAGCACACAAAAACCATGCAGCCTTATTGGCACCCACATGCATCTTACGCGTGCGTCAAAGCGCATGGTAACAAAGTATCATGTGTTTTGGGGAGGCGCAATGTTAAAAAAAAGAGTCAGGCCCCATCTTTTGCGCATTTCTCCTGTGTAAGGCATCTGGGAAAGGAGGTGTGAATGAGGCCCTACCGGGGATATGAGAAACTAGATCTGCTCTTAGTATTAATATATATATAGTTACAATGCATCACAAGGGAGTTGCAATTATGGTGCCTCTAGTGGTCATATTGACTTACTACAACTTAACTGCTATCTGCACTTGAATGCACTTGGGCCGGTTCACACCATAGAAGTGCAGTCCTGGCGCATTTTTGATGCGTTTTTTGTGCGTTTTTGATGCATTCCGGTGCATTTTTTCCCTTCTTTTTTATTCACCTTAAATAAGGACATATGTGCTCATTTTTGGTGTGTTTAGGTGTGCGTTTTTATGCATCTTACCGTGTTTCAGTACATTTCAGTGCAGAAAAAATGCGGCATGTTCTACTTTTTTTTTAGAACTGACCGCACTGGTGTGAACTATGCCATTGGAAAACATCTAACCTGCTATAAATGCTTTTTTGAGAAAAAAAAAACACTCTAGGACTCCATTGGATGTCAAAAAACGCACTGCACTATTGTTTTGTGATAAATGCTTCTTTGATGCAGAAAAAGAAAACCGCACTGGACTGCATGTGGTGTTATGCCGGCCATACATGGGTCAAAATTTGACCGATTTTTTTTTTTGTCCGAAAATCAGACCTAAGAATAATCGACCGATTTTCACTCTGTTAGTGGGTCAATGGCACCGGCCGATTTTCGTGCTTCTTCCCCTTTTCGATGATCGGGCCTGTTGGAAAATTTGTGATGAACGACAGATTTTCGACTCAAATCGTACGATCGTTTTTCCGAAAAGAATATGCGCATGAGCCGTGACCTGGAAGGAACAGAAGTTTCACCTGTTATATAAGGTGAACTTTGTGACTTGGTCGGCCGAATTTTCGAAATCATTGTTGGCACCATCCACCCAAAAAAGGGCATACAGCCACCCAGGGTTTACTTGGATTACCGAGTGAACAACCTTTTCGATTTTTGACCGAAAAATCATTCGGAATTCGAATCATGTATGGCCTGCATTAGCCTGCCCTCAATGTGTCATGTCTGACCAGTCCAGGAAGTAGATGGTGATCCTGGATAATGCCCAGGGGCGGGCTGACCATTTGGAAACTCGGGCACTGCCCGAGGGCCGGGGTCAGTAGGGGGCCCCATGAGATGCCCCTGGTACCTTTTTCATAGGCTTTCTTGAGTTTGGGCAAGGACACAGGAGCCCCATGATCCCCTATTGCCCGGGGGCCCCATGAGTTGTTAGTCCACCCCTGATGATGCCTGAACAAAGATGGTGCCGTCCTTCTGGAGAGAAAGGTAGATGAAGGCATTGTCAGGGGAGCACTGTGATCTCTGTGAGAGGTACTGAATACCTGGAAGGACATATGTATCATGCTGCATGTACCCTGAGCCCTGGTTCACACTGATGCGGTGCAGCGTTTTCAGTGCGAATTTCGCACCGCATCAGAATCGCACCCTGTTCATGCGAACCTCTGCGGGTGTGTATGTTAAGTTAACAACACGCCGAAATTGGTCCGAAAAAAAACGCGGTGTGATGTGCAGAATCGGATCATATAGGTGTGAATATCCATGCGATACGATTCTAGTGCGGACCCAAAAAAAGGGTCCTGCGCGTTTTTGGTGCGGGTCGATTAGAGCCATACAAAATGTATGACTCCGATCACACCGCACACAAATCGCATGTGATTTACACAGGAATGCGGTGCGCAGGGGCGGACTGACAACTCATGGGGCCCCCAGGCAATAGGGTATCATGGGGCCCCTGTGTCCTTGCCCAAACTCTCAAGTTCGCAGGAGCAGGATGGAAAAGTTTTCACAAACAAGTGAATATCTAACAGTGTTTGTGGCTTTCATCCGGTGAACTCCATTCATTTCAAAATCGAACGTTAAAAGCATAATAAATCTTTTGAATGCTCTTCACATTTTTGTTTGAATTTTCTTAAGACTTTTTCTAAGAATTTTCATTCCAAATTCTCTCCATCAGGGACGGACTGACAACTCATGGGGCCCCCAGGCAATAGGGGATCATGGGGCCCCTGTATCCTTGCCCAAACTCAAAAAAGCCTATGAAAAAGGTACCAGGGGCATCTCATGGGGCCCCCTACTGACCCCGGCCCTCGGGCAGTGCCCAAGTTTCCAAATGGTCAGTCCGCCCCTGGCGGTGCAGTTCCTGTGTGAATCACATGCGATGTACCGCACCGCACATATGTGAACCCGGGCTGAAGGAATAGATCTGATGACAGGTCCACTTTAAGGCACACAGGTTTGAACATTACCGCTCATTACGTACCATGCTCCTCGGCGGTGTGACCTCCGACCCCTGAACGCCTGTTAATTGCTCCTGAATTGATCGTTCGGAGGAAATCGCATACGCTGGAGTATATTGATCGCAGTCAGAGGTCAAGCCTTGGTGTCATGGAACGCCGACCTCCGTTGCTTTGAGTGGCTGAGCAGATCAGGAATATTCCTGAATTAATAAGGATCTTCATTGAGATTTTTTTGTTCAGGCGATCGATCCATCAAGTCCTGATGTTTAATATATGGAGATGCGGAGGCGATGATCCGGGGGATGTATTGATACTTTGTTACTTTGTGTATATCCTTCCTCTGACAATGCCAATTAGCTCCCATTCATCAAGCCTCAATCAGCACTTATAGCTGACGTTTACTCTCCTATGTTGCCTTCCCCGCTTCCTCTGATTCCCTGGTGATCCTGCCAAGGAGGTCCTGCTTCAGGCACTTCTTGTTAAAGGGTGACAACACTTTGTCCCTGTCTTCCAATTGTGCTCCTGTGTTGTCACCCTGAAAGGAAAACAGTCACCAGCACAACGAAGATCACCAATACGGGTCCAAAGGTTTTAATGAACGATCACATAGTTACAGCAAGGCAACGTTTCGGAGTCTCGCAGGACCCCTTCATCAGGCATGTGAGACCTTCAGGCTGGTCCAGCGAGACTCCGAAACGTTGCCTTGCTGTAACTATGTGATCGTTCATTAAAACCTTGTCACCAGCTCACCGAGTATCACCAATATGGGTCCAAAAGTTTTAATGAACGATCACATAGTGACAGCAAGGCAACGTTTCGGAGTCTCGCAGGACCCCTTCATCAGGCATGTGACCCCTTCATCAGGCATGTGACCCCTTCATCAGGCATGTGACCCCTTCATTAGGCATGTGACACCTTCAGGCAGGTCCAGCGAGACTCCGAAACGTTGCCTTGCTGTCACTATGTGATCGTTCATTAAAACCTTGTCACCAGCACACCAAGGATCACCAATATGTTTCCTTCCAGGGTGACAACACAGGAGCACATTCTGCCTTGCTGATTCGGATCGGATCCAGCCGACGGTCGCTGCAGCACCCACTTATACACACGGCCATTTTTAACACAGGATTGTGTGCGTTGGGATTGGTCACTTGTGTTGTCACCCTGTCACATGGCTTTCCAATAGAGATTGCCATTGGCTGACTCAACACCTATTAGGACCCGCTCACACTAGTGCGATTTTTGTTGCGGCCGCCGTCGCACTGCCATGCATGACAATGGAAATCCCCATCAGGAAACCTGCCCAAGTCGTGTAGTTGGAGTGCTGCGGGAAATGGCGGCAAAGAGGATGAAGGAGATCAGCAGCGCTGAGGTAACACGGGGGGAAAAAATGAAAAATTTATTTGAATGAAAAAAAATATTGACAATTATGATAAGCAGCACACCAAGCAAGCCAAATGTCCTCCAATTAATGGGTTACCTCTACTCTACCAGCTTGTGCAACATAGCTACTCCTCTGAAAATCGATCTGTGGTTGATTGCTTTTCAGAGGGCATTTGGCAGAAGGTGAGGAGGCTGTATGCTGCCTCCTCCTCACCTGTCTGAACTCTCACAATGCCACGCTACTGTGCTGCGACCGCATCCATTCCATGAAGCTGCAGGGCGGGCACAGCCTCGTGCACTTGCATGGGTCATGTTCAGTGGTGGTTTTGTAGCGACATGCCGCCATTCAGTGTTTTCAGCAGTGCATACCCTTTATCAGACAAGCAGTCGGGGAGGTAAAAGTACAGCATAACCACCTGATTTTACTATCCCCTGCCTACTTGTGTGAATGAGCCCCAAGGTCCATATGGTCTGGGCTGCTGTCTCTTCCTTCCTGCTATTACTGCGGTGGATTGCTTTTCAGTAGGCATTTAACTGGTGCTGAGATATCACCTCCTGTTTAAACCAGGGGTAGGCAACCTGCGGCTCTCTAGCTGTTGTGGAACTACATTTCCCATGAGGCATTGCAAAAATTACAAAACTGACAGTTACAGCTATGACTTGTAGAGGCATGATGGAACTTGTAGTCCTGCGACTCTCAGGTTGCCTACCCCTGGTCTAAACCCTCAAATTGCGGCTCCCCTGCACCCCAAACTCAGGAATTGGCCATGGTTGTGGAGTGGCTGCTCAACCATCTGATTTTACTGCCCCCCACCTACTCGTGTGGATAAGCCCCCAAGCCTCCTAGATTGTAAGCTCCCAGGATCAGGCCCTCCTATCCCTCTTGTATTGAACTGTATTGTTGCTGTATTGTCTCCCTTTATATTGTAAAGTGCTGAGCAAACTGTTGGCGCTATATAAATCCTGTATAATAATAATATAAATCCTGTATAATAATAATAATAATAATATCCTGTATAATAATAATAATATAAATCCTGTATAATAATAATAATAATATAAATCCTGTATAATAATAATAATAAAATAATAATAATATAAATCCTGTATAATAATAATAATAATAATATAAATCCAGTATAATAATAATCTAAATCCTGTATAATAAATATAAATCCTGTATAATAATATAAATACAAATCCTGTATAATAATAATACAAATCCTGTATAATAATAATAATACAAATCCTGTATAATAATATAAATCCTGTATTATAATAATAATAATAATAATATAAATCCTGTATAATAATAATATAAAATCCTGTATTATAATAATAATAATAATAATATAAATCCTGTATAATGATAATAATATAAATCCTGTAATAATAATAATATAAATCCTGTATGTATTATAATATCCTGTATAATAATATAAATCCTGTAATATAATAATAATAATATAAATCCTGTAGAATAATATAAATCCCGTATAATAATAAATATAAATCCTGTATAATAATAATAATAAAATAATAGGAAGAAGAATTCCAAATATCTTTATCATAGAAGCTCCTGAACTGTGCCCTTATCACTTCCCCCATGCCGTTTACTTTTGCCGCAATCACAAATCAAGGTATTTGCCAAACCCTGAGTGGCTGCCTGCCCTTTTTTCTGGGGGGCGGTAAAACTACATCTCAACCACCTGATTTTTCCGCCCTCATGACTGCTCATGTGAATAAGCCCCAAAGTCCAGATATATTTCTCCTACAAGATCCCGAACCATGCCACCCTCACCTCCTCCATCCGGTCCCCCGAACGCCGGGATTTCGGCGAAAAAAAAATAAAAAGCGTTTTTTGTTTGCATTGAACATGGAGATTTATACATTTTTAATATCTCGCTTCCTTTTCTACTTTTAAAAAGTAGACAGAAACAAAACAGCATCTGTTCTTGTGTTGTCATGTATAGAGTGCAGCGGGATCAGATGAAAGGCTGATGGCTGGTGGCATTGTATGTATTTCTCTTCCTTTATGTTGTGTTCTTGTTTCCTCTAGATGAGGGGATCCCTTCGTTTTGCACACAATTCCTCTTATCACCGCGAATATCACATCAAAGTCTCCTCCGCCAATGTCTTATTAAATATTGTTACAATCATCTCTTTGGTTCTTACAGAATCAATGGGCGCATGGCTTTCTTCCTGATTTGTTTTTTTGCTGGAAATCTTTAGCGCAGTAATGAGCGGCGCCGTTCAAGGCTTCCCTTCTTTTGTGCGTTCCGGCGCCTAATGTATGTGCGCCCCACATGGGCCGACGGAAAGAGAGCGGAGCTCCGCCCATCCTGTCAGTCTTGGACAGTACTACGGCTCCTCTCCTGGACCGACACAGCTCACTATGATTTCACTGCACACTGTGAGCTTCTCACTGTGTGCTTTAGAAGCTGTAGCCACTCTTTTCCTGGCTGGAGGAGATGCATTAGAATCTACAGCTAGACTGGAGGACTTCCATCCAGCATCATCTAGCCCAGGGGTCTCCAGACCTTCTAAGAAAAGGGCCAGGTTACTGTCCTTCAGGCTTTAGAGGGGACGGACCATGGCCAGTGGCCATCATTGGTGTGACTGGGAGGAATAGTGTCTTATCGTTGGTGTCAGTGGGAGGAATAGTTCCCCATCGTTGGTATCAGTGGGAGGAATAGTGCCCCATCATTGGTATCAGTGGGAGGAATAGTGCCCCATTGTTGGTGTCAGTGGGAGGAATAGTGCCCCATCGTTGGTGTCAGTGGGAGGAATAGTGTCCCATTGTTGGTGTCAGTGGGAGGAATAGTGCCTCATCATTGGTATCAGTGGGGGGAATAGTCTCTCATTGTTGGTGTTAGTGGGAGGAATAGTGCCCCATCATTTGTGTCAGTGGGAGGAATAGTGCCTCATTGTTGGTGTCAGTGGGAGGAATAGTGCCTCATCGTTGGTGTCAGTGGGAGGAATAGTGCCCCATCATTGGTGTCAGTGTGGGAGAAATAGTGCCTCATCGTTGGTGTCAGTGGGAGGAATAGTGCCCCATCATTGGTGTCAGTGGGAGGAGGTGTAGTGCCCAGTCATTGGTGTCAGTGGGAGGAGTAGAGGAGTAGTGCCCCATCATTGGTGTCAGTAGGAGGAATAGTGCCCCATCATTAGTGTCAGTGGGAGGAATAGTGCCTCATCGTTGGTGTCAGTGGGGGGAATAGTGCCCCGTCATTGGTGTCAGTGGGGGAATAGTGCCCCGTCATTGGTGTCAGTGGGGAGAATAGTGCCCCATCATTAGTGTCATTTGGGGGAATAGTGCCCCATCATTGGTGTCAGTGGGAGGAATAGTGCCTCATCGTTGGTGTCAGTGGGGGGAATAGTGCCCCATCATTGGCGTCAGTGGGAGGAATAGTGCCCCATCATTGGTGTCAGTGGGAGGAATAGTGCCTCATCGTTGGTGTCAGTGGGAGGAATAGTGCCCCATCATTGGTGTCAGTGGGAGGAATAGTGCCTCATCGTTGGTGTCAGTGGGAGGAATAGTGCCCCATCATTGGTGTCAGTGGGAGGAATAGTGCCTCATCGTGGTGTCAGTGGGAGGAATAGTGCCCCATCATTGGTGTCAGTGGGAGGAATAGTGCCTCATCGTTGGTGTCAGTGGGAGGAATAGTGCCCCATCATTGTGTCAGTGGGAGGAATAGTGCCTCATCGTTGGTGTCAGTGGGGGGAATAGTGCTCCATCATAGGTGTCCGTGGGAGGAATAGTACCTCACCATTGGTGTTATTGGAAGGAATGGTGTCCTATCTTTTGGTGTCAGTGCCAGGAATAGTGCCCCATTGTTGGTGTCAGGAACTATGCCCCATTGGTAATGTCAGTGAGAGAAGTAGTGCCCCAAGGGCCGGAAAATGGCAAGCAAAGGGTCGCATCCGGCCCCCGGGCCACAGTTTGGAGACCTCTGATCTAGCCCTTTCCTCCCCAGCCTGACAGTCCCTGCCCCGCCCCTTTCATTGATTGGATGTCATATCTTTCAATCATGGAGGCTCATGATACCCATACAAATGCAGCCTGCCTTGGGAACGCCCGCTCCTCCAGACTGACATCCACCCATCAACTCCTCCTACATTACAGCTCACTGCTTAGCTCAGGATTCCCGGATTCCTCCCTCCTCCCCTCATTCACATACTAACCTTGAAATAAAACCTTCCCCTTTTCATGCCATACCTCTTTTTAGATCCAGTGATGTCATCACTGGATCCCTGAACTTCTCTATGCAATGCAGGCAGATCATGGCTGATGGGAGGGGCCAAAAGGTTGCTGCACCAGCCCACAACTTCCATCAGGGCTGATGGCTTTTGGATGGAGTACTGAAGCAGAGTGCTACATTGTTATTTATTTACTGTACTTTTACAACGCCATCAATTTACACACACGCATATATCTTGTACATTCACATCAGTCCCTAACCCTCAAGGGGTGTACAATCTAAGGTCCCTAACTCACATTCATACATACACATATGAGGGACAATTTAGACAGGAGCCAATTCACCTACCAGCATGTCTTTGGAGTGTGGGAGGAAACCGGAGTACCCAGAGGAAACCCACGCAGGCACAGGGAGAACATGCAAACTCCAGGCAGGTGGTGCCATGGTTGAGATTCAAACCAATGACCCTAGTACTGCCAGGTAAAAGTGCTAATGAGAAAGCTGTGTGCAGCACTCTCCCACCAGCCATGATCTATTTGCATGGCTTAGAGAAGCACAGAGAACCAGTGATGACATGGAAAGGTTCCATGCAAACATTCCACTGGGACATGGAAGGAGGAAAGAGAGGCTACAGACAGGTTAGGCCAGGGGTGGGCAACTGTGGCCCTCCAGCTGCTGTAGAACTACAAGTCCCATGAGGCATTGCAAAACTGACAGTTCCAAACATGACTCCCAAAAGCAGAGGCATGATGGGACTTATAGTTCACCGACAGCTGGAGGACCGCCCCTGGGTTAAGGTATGAGTTTTTTGAGATTAACCCAGGATACAGGAAAGAAAAAAAGTCCGGGGTGGGGGGAGGAGTTCCTCTTTCCGGCATGGAAGAGTGAAATGTTCATACAGACTGGACCCGTCCATTTCACTTTTTCAAACACCGGTACATTTAAGGCTGGTTTGGGTGATAACCGTCACAGTTGCTTGTGCTCTCAGCCAAACTGTCATGGCTGGAGTCATGTGCAAATGCAGAGTCTTATGCAGGCCAAAGACGGTTCAAAATCGGCCGGTTTTTGCACTGTTAGTGGGTTCATTGGTCGGCTGTTTGTCCTTTTTTTGCAGTTTTTTTATCGGTCATGTTGAAAATTCGCTGCCGATTTGGACGATCGGCCCATTTTCCCGGCAATGATGGGCAAATTGGCCGCTCGCTTTCCCGATAAAAAAATCCACGCATGAGCCGTGGCCTGCAAGTGACAATAGTTATGGGGTGAACTTTATGATTTACCGTTGGTGGTAACATCGGCTGAATGAACGACCGATTTTTTTTTCGTTTTTTTTTTCCCCGTAAAATCGACCGATGTTCGACTCGTCTATGGCCTGCATAAGATGGCAGCTTCTTTGGCTATAAAGCATACGAGGGTTTAATTCCACTTTAATATCAGTTGAGTATGCCTTTTAGCATGCCGTAAGTGCATTGTGACTTCTAAGGTGCCTTCAATTAGTTTGTTATACCAGTGTGATCCTAGGCCACTTTGGCATGCCTTACGCACACTTTAATCGGCCTTACTGTCATTTCTGTTGATACTGAATCAGGGGCGGACTGACCATTTGGAAACTCGGGCACTGCCCCAGGGCCCGGGGTCAGTAGGGGGCCCCATGAGATGCCCCTGGTACCTTTTTCATAGGCTTTTTTGAGTTTGGGCAAGGACACAGGGGCCCCATGATCCCCTATTGGCTGGGGGCCCCATGAGTTGTCAGTCCGCCCCTGTACTGAATCATGGCCCTTTTGTCAATGTATGCTTGGTGATTCTAAAGACATATATACAAGGAAGATGACTACGCTGGCTGTGCTGGCCCCGGCCACTAGGGGCAGTATCTCGAAATAGACACATGAAACACGTTTACGAACATATGGAAATCGCGGTCATGTAAAAGCCCTGCAGGAAAGATGTCCGCCCGGTGAGCAGTAAAGCGTGCGTTCCCTGCAAGCGCACCGTGTGGCTTCCCTTTAAGACGAGAAGCATGAGCAGCTGTAAAGCCGTGTTTAGGCAGACGGAGCTTATTGGCCGTCCATGCTAAGCTGTTTGACAAAATGTTTGGAATCTAATTAGTTTGACTTCAAAGGTGCAGCACTTTGTGCGATCGCCGCCGATTGATAGCAACTAAAGACACTTCAATCTGGCTCACCCTACAGCAGACTGACTTCTCGCCTCGCTCACCTGTGACCGTGCTGCCATAACGGGGAAGAAACCACGGCACCTTGAGTTATGCAGGCCGTAGACGGGTCGAAAATCGGCCAGAAAAAAAATTGGACGCTTTTCGCACCATTAGTGGGTTAATTGGTCGGCCGCTTTTCAGGGTTTTATCACATTTTTTTTTATCGGCCGATTATTGCCCGATTTCCCCGGCAATGATGGTTAATTCGGTCGATCGTTTTACCGATAAAAAATCTGCGCATGAGCCATGACCTGCAAGAAGAAGAAAAAGAAGAAGAATAAAAGAAAGATGAAGTTAAAGAAGAAGAAAAAGAATAAGAAGAATTCCAGTCCGCTATTATATTTGACATGAAGAAGTATTGAGGTTGCAACAATGTATCTATTTGTATCCGAATAAAAACATCTGTATCTAAAATGGATACAAATAGATACAATGTTGCAACCGCAATACTTCTTCATGTCAAATATAATAGCGGAGCTCTCTGCAGGGACAGAAGTAATTAAATGCCGGCCGTAGACGGGACGAAAATCGGCCAATTTTTTTTTTTTACCATTAGTGGTAACTTTGGCCTATTGAACGACCAATTTTTCGTTTTTTTTTTTTTTTTTTTAAAACGACCGGTTTTCGACTCGTCTATGGCCTGCATTACCCTATTGGGTGTGCTCTTCCATTGACGTGTGGGGGGCCCATTCACTCTGATGTGTCACGGCTTTGCCATGTGATACAGTGTGTGCGGCGCTGTGAATCTGTTCATTTAGAAGTGGCACCCCAATCACAACTACAGGGAAACGAAACGCAGCCGTGCGGGTTGGGGTGCACTGCGTTTATATAACAGGGTCATGCCTGTGCTTTCATGTGTTCCAATGTGTGACCAGATCACTAAATTCACATACAAATGTCAGCTGATTTCATGATCCTGCCATCGAGCCTTGTGTAGATACTTCCTGTTATAGGGTGAAGACGCTTTATACCAGTCTGCTAGTTGTGCTCCCTCGTTGTCACCCTGCTACATGGGACCCTGGTGAGGAGACTGCATGCGGCCATGCCAGCGCACATTACACAGGGCTGGACCATTGTTCCAGGAATCCAATCCAGAACAATGAGGTGCAGCTGATGGTGGAGGGAAGGCAAAGGCAGTGCCTAAAAGAGGCTGGAGGAGATCAGCAGTGAGATGGGTACATGAAAACACTGTTTCAGAGTCAGCCCCGCCTTTCATCAGAGTCAGCCCCGCCCTTCGTCAGGCTCATTCCTCCTCCTTTATTAGGTTCACTTGTCAGGCTTTAGTCCCTGCCCACCGCCAGATTCAGTCCCTGCCCACCGCCAGATTCAGTCCCTGCCCACCGCCAGATTCAGTCCCTGCCCACCGCCAGATTCAGTCCCTGCCCACCACCAGATTCAGTCCCTGCCTCCGTCAGATTCAGTCCCTGCCCTCCGTCAGATTCAGTCCCTGCCCTCCATCAGATTTAGTCCCTGCCCCTCGTCAGATTCAGTCCCTGCCCTCCGTCAGATTTAGTCCCTGCCCCTCGTCAGACTCAGTCCCTGCCCCTCGTCAGACTCAGTCCCTGCCCCTCGTCAGACTCAGTCCCTGCCCCTCGTCAGACTCAGTCCCTGCCCCTCGTCAGACTCAGTCCCTGCCCCTCGTCAGACTCAGTCCCTGCCCCTCGTCAGACTCAGTCCCTGCCCCTCGTCAGACTCAGTCCCTGCCCCTCGTCAGATTCAGTCCCTGCCCCTCGTCAGATTCAATTCCTGCCCTTTATCAGATTTAGTCCCTGTCCTTCAGTTTCAGCCATGAAAAGAGGAAGTTAATAAAATGAAATTTATCTGATTTTAGTCCATGTACTTCAGTTTCAGCTGCTCTTTATCAGGTTATGCTCCTGCTCTTTATCAGGTTATGCTCCTGCTCTTTATCAGGTTATGCTCCTGCTCTTTATCAGGTTCAGTCCCTGCCCTTCATTAGATTTAGTGCTTGTCCTTCTTCAGGTTAGGACCCCATTCTTCGTCAGGCTTAGTCCACACTCTTCATCAGATTTAGCCCCTGCCCTTCATCAGGCTCGTTCCATGCCCTTCCTTACGTTTACTTCTTTCCCTTTTCCAGGTTTAGTCCCTGCCCTCCATCACATTTAGTCCTTGCCCTTCTTTTTGTTCAGTTTCTGCCCTTCAACAGGTTCAGTTCCCACCTTCCATCAGATTTAGTCTCTGTCCTTCAGCAAATTTAGTCCCTGTCATTCTTCAGGTCCAGTTCCCTCTCTTCTTTAGGTTCAGTTTCTGCCCTTCAACAGTTTCAGTTCCCACCTTCCTTTAGATTTAGCCCCTGCCCTTCTTCAGGTTCAGTCCCCTCTCTTCATCATGTTCAGTCCCTGCCCTTCATCAGGTTGAATCCTCACTGTTCATCAGGTTCAGTCCCTGACCTTTATCATGTTAAGTCCCTGCCCTTCCTCGGGTGTAGTGCACACCCTTCATCAGGTTCAGTCCCCACTCTTCGTCACCTTCAATCCTCCACCTTCAGGTTCCCAGGTAATCAGGTACTTAGGTGCAACTCAGGCTTTACCCAGAAACTGGAAACATCTCACGAGTGAATGTAATCCGACCCAACATAGTACTGTCAGTGAATGTAATCCGACCCAACATAGTACTGTCAGTGAATGTAATCCGACCCAACATAGTACTGTCAGTGAATGTAATCCGACCCAACATAGTACTGTCAGTGAATGTAATCCGACCCAACATAGTACTGTCAGTAGTAATCCGACCCAACATAGTACTGTCAGTGACTGTAATCCGACCCAACATAGTACTGTCAGTGAATGTAATCCGACCCAACATAGTACTGTCAGTGAATGTAATCCGACCCACATAGTACTGTCAGTGAATGTAATCCGACCCAACATAGTACTGTCAGTGAATGTAATCACCCAACATAGTACTGTCAGTGACTGTAATGTAATCCAACCCAACATAGTACTGTCAGTGAATGTAATCCGACCCAACATAGTACTGTCAGTGAATGTAATCCGACCCAAACAAATAAAATTTCACTGATGGTCACAATATCTCACCTATGAAAATATATATATTATTGGTGCAATAGATTTCATCGGGTCTCATGTAAAAAAAAAAATATATATCATAGTGAACCTTTGCAGGTAGAGCCTGTAAATATTTGAACATTGTTGTGTTTTCTATTTGTTGTCTTAAACCAAATTGTTTTCATAGCGACAAAATAACAGCCTGTGGGGCCAATATGCAAAGGTTCTCACTGGCCATTCATGACCTTTTTTTGTACCCTTGTCCGTGAACCCATCTCAGTAGTATAGTGTATGTATTTGCATTTATGTTACATATTTATATATTTAATATTTTAATATTTAATTATTATTAAATATTCAATATTTATCTATTATTTTTTTTTTGTATTTTTTTTTTATTTATATGAGCATTTTTTTCTTTTTTTATTTATTTATTTTATTGTGATATATTTTTTTTTTTTTTTATTTTTTTTAGTTTAGTTTTTTTTTTTTTATTTTTCTCTCATATTTTTTATTTTTTTTTTTTTTTATATTTTTTTTTTTTTTTTTTTTTTTTTTAGCACGTTTTTTTTTTTTTTTTTTTTTTATTTTTTTTTTTTTTTTTTTATATTTTTTTTTATTATTTTTTTTTTTTAGTGTTTTTTTTTTTTTTTTTTTTTTTTTTTTTTTTATTTTTTTTTTTTTTTTTTTTTTTTTTTTTTTTTTATTTTTTTTTTTTTTTTTTTTTTTTTTTTTTTTTTTTTTTTTTTTTTTTTTTTTTTTTTTTTTTTTTTTTTTTTTTTTTTTTTTTTTTTTTTTTTTTTTTTTTTTTTTTTTTTTTTTTTTTTTTTTTTTTTTTTTTTTTTTTTTTTTTTTTTTTTTTTTTTTTTTTTTTTTTTTTTTTTTTTTTTTTTTTTTTTTTTTTTTTTTTTTTTTTTTTTTTTTTTTTTTTTTTTTTTTTTTTTTTTTTTTTTTTTTTTTTTTTTTTTTTTTTTTTTTTTTTTTTTTTTTTTTTTTTTTTTTTTTTTTTTTTTTTTTTTTTTTTTTTTTTTTTTTTTTTTTTTTTTTTATTTTTTTGTTTTTTTTTTTTTTTTTTTTTTTTTTTTTTTTTTTTTTTTTTTTTTTTTTTTTTTTTTTTTTTTTTTTTTTTTTATTTTTTTTTTTTTTTTTTTTTTTTTTTTTTTTTTTTTTTTTTTTTTTTTTTTTTTTTTTTTTTTTTTTTTTTTTTTTTTTTTTTTTTTTTTTTTTTTTTTTTTTTTTTTTTTTTTTTTTTTTTTTTTTTTTTTTTTTTTTTTTTTTTTTTTTTTTTTTTTTTTTTTTTTTTTTTTTTTTTTTTTTTTTTTTTTTTTTTTTTTTTTTTTTTTTTTTTTTTTTTTTTTTTAAATTTTTTTTTTTTTTTTTTTTTTTTTTTTTTTTTTTTTTTTTTTTTTTTTTTTTTTTTTTTTTTTTTTTTTTTGATTTTTTTTTTTTTTTTTTTTTTTTTTTTTTTTTTTTTTTTTTTTTTTTTTTTTTTTTTTTTTTTTTTT